TCTCATGCACACTTGCATCCCACCTCCCTTGTCTTTTATCTCACAGTTCTGAATATCAGCTTGACTGCAATGGTGCATCCTCAAATTTTTATAAGATGAATCATAGAATGGTGTGGGTTGAAAGTGACTTTAAAGGTCGTCTAGCTCCAAACCTGCTGCCATGGGCAGGGACACCTTCCACAAGATCAGATTGCTCAGCACCCCATCCAACCTGACCTTGAACAACTCCAAGGACAGTGCATCCACAACTTCTTTGAGCAAGAAGAAATTTTGTAAGCAGTTTGAAACTCAAGATACAGCAAAGAAGCTAAATTTTTCACGATACCTGAGAGCTGCAAGATTATAAAACACTTTTATTTTTTTTTGATCATGCCGTGAATCAGCTGCATCTTTTGTTTCTGGCTTAGATGGCTGCTAGAGAATAGTTACCTCTTGTGGAGGAATCTTACAGGCAACTGTTCTAAGATCAACCTTCATAAATGTATCTGTCCATGGAAGTATGAGGATCATACCTGAAAAATAAAAATAATTAGATGAAACACCTCTGAAAGTTAAGTCCAGAACCAGGTGTGCTGTACAAAGCAAACAAATGGAAATACCCACACGGTGGGGAATGAGCCCATCTTATTACTACAGATGCCCTTTTTGCTACAGGAGGTGACAACAGTGAGGTTTTGCATTTTCTAACATAGGGAAATGCAGATATCTGCAAATAATGTGAACTCATTAGAGCTTAATGACCTAGGGCTCTGATCCGGTAACGGGCAGATTGCAACTCTGGTCTTAAATCTGCCATGAGATTTTCAGCAAAAATTCCTTCCATGCCTTTATTCTGTTTCCCCTTTTTAAATCATAAGCAATTTATGGTTCAGTACATCTGTATCCAGGAAAGCTATCCCCCAGATCCATCCCTGCATGGCTCCCACATTAGGAACATGTGTCCCAAGATGTGACACATCCTGTGAAGGAGTCCCCACTCTCCTTCACTGGAGAGGGAGACTGGACACAACTATTCTAATCTTAGCATCTTGTTTTGGCACCCAGAGGCACACAGAAGCGCTCTGCACCAGCCCTAGCTGCTCTTTCGACCTCATGACTATTATCCAAGAGGAAAGACAATACCTGAAAAGGACTTTTTCCTGTTATTTCAACTTCCAGTTTCCCCAGTTTCACTGCACAGAGATGGTAACTGCACCTACACAAACACCTCATGATGATGGGTTTGGTTTGAGTTTCTGAGTTTTAACCTGATCCTAAGTGACTGTAACAAGCTCTACACAGATGCTGAATATCTTGGCCCTGACACGTTTACCATTTTCAGAGCAGAGACAGCTAAGGAGTTGGCAGCAACAAGCAGTGTTGGAAGTGAGGTACAGGGAGAAAGGCCACAAAAGTCACTCAAAAAAGACCATGGCAGACATGAACACTGCATTTGAACCTCTCCACAGTCCCCTGCCAGTGTCTGCAGCATGAGTTCAACTTTTTGTTGTCCAATCTCCTCAACAGCAAAGCCATACCTGGTATCAAAGTACTCAGACTTTTGTGCTGTGACAGGAGGGTGGCTTTATCTTCTCTTCAGAAAAGCAAATAGTCTGCAGGTAAAGGAACTGCAGTAGAGAGGACCTTCTCAGTCTCCTCCATGCTGTGAAGAGGGACTTCATGAACCTCTGCAATTCTCTATGTGATTAGAGTGCATCATAATAAAACAAATAAACCTGGTGGATTTTAACGGAATAAAACTGCATGCATTCACCTGCTCCCTTTGCTTTCTTAAGACAGTATACGTCCCAGATGAAACACAACAGCTCGTTCATATTCTCTGATAACCTAGGAAAATATTTTAAGTTTAGAACTTTACAGCTAATTCTACTCTCTGGTCTGATTTCTTTAATCTTTGGCATCCATGTTAAATGTGAAAAAAGAAGAAATAATATAGGAGGCAACAAAGCTGCAAATCACTAGGTGTTTTACATCTTCTACTTACCTCATGTTTTGCTGAAAAAACTCAGACCCCGGCCCTGCAAATATGTTACAAAACAGATCAAATATGAAAGAATTGCCACTGATTTAATGAGGCTATCCCACAGCTCTTTCAACATCAGCACTACACTCAGAGGAGCTGTAGGCAAACCACGTCTCACTTCAGGTAACCTAGCTAACTACTTCAGTTAGTGCATCACAACTACTGAAGGCCTGGAGTTCAGGGCAATCACTGGTAACTCACACCTTAAAAATGCCTGAAATTATTATGCCCATGTCTTGAAGGGACATTGTATGGGTTTAGGTTATGCAGTTTCTCAATGCAGGGCCACATGTTCTCATCTTCTTGTGTTAATTCCTATTGCTGGCAGCATCAAATATGAGTTCCTTAGAAAAATTTGTAGATTTATTTTCCCAGTTTTGTAAATCAGAGAAGTTTAACTGATGACAGAAGTTGAGACTGGAAGAAATTAAACAAGAAAGTTGTGGTGATACAGAAAGTTAGTGAAAGAACATGGATCTCAGGCCCAGAACACATCTTTGCTACAAGCCTTTATGATTTCCAAAAAGTGAATGTAAAGTGCCTTGTCTTAACTAAATCAATAAAAAAAATAACAGCAATGATAACAGAGTATTCTTATGTACCTCAAATACCTCTAGTTTACCTTCATACATGCCCAGATAGAAATAGGAAAAGTAATAAGCACCAGGAGGAATGAAAGGGAAACCAGGATCCAGCCACAGACACCAATTCCTTCCCACCTGTCAGCTATAAAAAAATATAAGGCAGAAGAGCAACAAATGAAAAATTTGAAGAGTTACCCCAGGGATGTAGATCTAGCCCAGTGCAATCATAAAGGACTGCAAAGTCCACAGAGACTCACTCCCTTTTCTTCCCTCCCATCGCTCAACGAAAGACATCAAAGACCTAACCAAACATCCAATCTTATGGCCCTTCTACCCAAAAGGTCAAAAAAGGTTCAGAAAATACATTTTGCAACAGAAAGAAAAAGGAAAAATGTAAGATATTGCCAAAGCTGGGGGTTGTGAAGGAAAATTAAAAACCATGGGTGGAGTATCCATGAGTATGACTCTGTCAGTGCACCATGGCTGGGGCAAAATATTTAGTTTGTATGAAACAGGTAATAAGGAAAACAAGAGGAACTATTGCTTCCTTTACATGAAGGTTTTGAGGAATATTGATGGACCAGTTCATTCAGTGAACCATAAACTTCGAAATTACTGCTTGTCAAAATGCAGACTCATGCATTTTAAGCAGTTGTCTTGTTGAGTTGAGCTTGTCTCATCCCAAAATTTCATTACAATGAAATAAAAAAACTATATAAAAATAAATTTCATTATTTTGATGCCCGAAAGGAAGGCAGTAGTGAGCAGCTGTTCAAATGCTAAAAGTTCAGGAGGCTCTCTGCAAGGAAAGTGTGACCAAGGAGCAGCTGGTCTTTGAAGAGAAGAGCAGCTGGAGTTGCTGACATCCTCAAAAAATAGGCAAGGAGGGAAACCGGACAGTCTTGCCATCAGGACAGAGTACTGTAGGATCAACTGAATTTTGCTAAATGTAGAAATGCATCAGGAGAGTCACAAGGAAAGCAGCAGGGATGAGGATGAGATAATCCTAGGGGCTGCCTAGCTGCCTGGTTTGGGCCAGAAGAGGATTTTTGCAGGCACAAGCATCAGCAGATGGGAAGCTGAACACCACAGCGTACGTTTCCCAGTGCAAGAGGAAGAAGCAGGACAAAGGGACAAAGTCTCAGAGGTCTCCTCAGAGAAGCTCTGCCATGCTGATGGAAAGGTGCAAGGTGTTTTGGATAAGTTATTTGAAAGGTATAGGGTAGCACTGGCAATTTCTGACATCAAAGAAAATTCACATGCAGATAGAAACTGATAAACAGGAAACAATTCAATTTATACTGTCTGAAAAAAACCAACTTGTCACCACCATGGAAACAGCATGAGGCTCCCTCACCTGTAAGGCACAAGCTAACAGACCAGTAGAGCAGGACTGACACGTTTGTCAGAAAACTCCCAGCAACCCCAGAGGAGAAAATACAGCACAGCCCTCCTGAGGCTCCTGCCGCTCCTATTGTGCATGGCTGGGCTGAGCCTGCTAGTAATGGTAGCTGCACACCTGGGTGTTACATCAAGCCCTTTGCTGCGCGCAGTTTTGCACATCCTACTTTGAGGTCCCTGCTGCAGATTTAATCACTCATACTTAAACATGTGTGTCCAAGAGGGCCCAGTTTCAGGCCTCCATGAGAGCTGGGCACAGAATTGTTGTAGTGGGAGCTCAGCTTTCCTCCTCATCCTTTCGAAAAAACGGTATTTTTAAATCCCTAGTTGTTTCACGAGGTATCATCAGGCATTCTGCAATCAGTGGTACAAATGATTTGAGGAGCAGCCCTGAACAAATTACCATGCAAACTTTAAGGCCATGTGTATGAAGACAGAATTTTTGAGATTTAATGCGAAAATCTTTAACACTGTCACTGCTGTGTGTTTGCCACATAATGTACTTCACGTTACACTAGTGATGTGTCAGGCTACAACAGGTACACAAAGTACCAGCAGTCCAGTGTCTTTTAGTCAGTAGAAAGAGATCAATGAAATTCATGGAATGGGCATAATTCATAATTCTGAACCTGAAACCTGGGGAAATTAATCATGAAAGGATGTTTTGTTCACTTCAACAGAGCTCAACATTTTTAGTCTCTCTCTTCATTTCACCAAAATGACTAGCTTACAGAAAATGTCTGAAGATCTTTTTCTTCTGTGCCAAACTTGGTTATGAAGAATCTCCTCAAAAGCAATTTTGAATCTGCCGTCATCCACCTGATCCTGTTGTGAAGATACCTGGTGGGAATGACACAATCCACAGACAGGGGGAATAGCTGGGAACAAATGCCTGCACTCAGCAGACTGATGCTCAAGCAGCTGAGAAGCGGTAGGGGTCAAGATATCACCCCTCACTACGATGGGCAAAAAGCATGCACCCAAAACTTGAATAAAGTACAATCGAATCCATGAGAATTGTCCTATGCCAGCTAAAAATGTAGGTTCCAATTCGAAAAGCAGGATATGAATGTATGCCTTCTTCAGAGTGAATGAAGCTCCTAGCTCCTCAAAGAACACCAGATCTTCTCTGATTACCCCAAAGTTTCAAACCATTTAACTACAAGACAAATGAAAGACTCTAAGAAAACACAATAATGAAGAATCAGTCACAATCCAACATATCAGTGACCTGGGTTTGCCATGCCTGTATATGGATTACAATAGCCATAATCACCCAAAACCCTCACTTGGGTCTATAGTCCAGAGAAAACTGAGAGCTGTAATGCTCTTGGTACAAAATGTGCAAAATCATAGAATCATAGAATCAACCGGGTTGGAAAAGACCTCCAAGATCATCAAGTCCAACTCTTGATCCAACAACAGTGCTGACTCATGTTCAGCTTTCTGTCAATCCAAACTCCTAGGTCCCTTTCTGCCTGGCTGCTCTCCAGCCACTCTGTCCTCAGCCTGTAGCGCTGCAGGGGGTTGTTGTGGCCAAAGTGCAGGACCCAGCACTTGGCCTTGTTGAACCTCATCCCTTTGGAATCAGACCATCTGTCCAGCTTGTCCAGGTCCCTCTGAAGAGCCCTTCTGCCTTCCAGCTGATCGAGACTCCCCCCCAGCTTGGTGTCATCTGCAAATTTGTTAATGGTACACTCAATCCCCTCATCCAGATCATCAGTAAAGATATTAAATAGAACTGGGCCCAACACTGATCCCTGGAGGACACAACTAGTGACAGGCCACCAACTGGATGCAGCACCGTTCACCACCACTCTCTGGGCCCGGCCCTCCAGCCAGTTCCTAACCCAGCACAGAGTGCCCCTGTCCAATCCGTGGGCTGCCAGCTTTTTCAGGAGTATGCTGTGGGAGACAGTGTCAAAGGCTTTGCTGAAGTCCGGGTAGACACATCCACAGCCTTCCCTCATCCATCAGGTGGGTCATCTGATCATAAAAGGAGATCAGGTTCGTCAGATAGGACCTGCCCTTCCTAAACCTGTGCTGGTTGGGTCTGATCCCTTGTCCATCCTGTAGCTGTTGTGTGATTGCACTGTGAGAGCTCATCATTCAGCAGTTGTGGAAAAGCTCCAGGACACTCATAAGATTCAGGGTACATCACAAACACACTTAATACACAAAATCACAATGTGGGTTACAAACTTGGAAGGCAAATGAAAAGCTCACTGTGGGCAAAAATCTCCCAAGTCTCCTACAGCCAGACAAAGATGGAGTAGACTCAGCTTTTTTAATCACCATGTACCTTCCTGCTTTCTACTAGCACCCAAATCAATCCTGCTCAGACTCATGCTTGTCCCACTGCACTGTCCACACCTATGGCCAGACACAATGGTGAAAACAGCACACATTGCCAGTAACAAGTTGGTTTGAAGAGAACACCAGGTAGGTATTCATCACACTAGCGCAACCACACTAAATGTTCTTTTGGGGCTGAAAAATTCTTCTGCCTTCATTAAGACATATTTTTCCCTCTCCACCCCATCCGTACAAGTATATCAATAGCTGAATCAGTCTTTTTTGGCCCTGGGATCATGCTGGCAGAAGATAGATGCTGGCACATGCTGGCAGGGCAGCATGATGCAATTTGCTCAATCACTCACAGTGGCAGATTCTGAATTTTCATTTCCTGACTACCTGGGAGATCAAATGTGCTTTTTTTGTTTGGTTAGTTCTGGTCCTTTTCATTATTATTGAGAAAAAAAGCCAAACACACAAAACAAGGCTTACCAATTAGATGTTCCATGTTGATTTTCTTGGGCATCTCCCTCTGGGTTTCCATCCCATTTGAGGGAAGCTCTGATCCCCTCACATACAAGACAGCAGTGCACCTCGAAACTGCACAGTGCTCATGCAAAATACTGAAGAGGGAGGCAGAGTAAGAGAAGGAGAAATCCCTTGTATGAGTCCCCTGGGAGTTAGTTACCCTGGTGAGGAGAGGATGTTTACAAGCACAGTCTCTCAGATTCAGGTTGCCTCTGGTATAACTCCCTGGTCTTCTGTCTGGGTGTGCTTTTGGCCTAGCTGGTTTTAGACCCCACAAAACACAAGCTGGAAATAATTTCTAAGAATCTGTCACCACAGAGAAAAAAAAGGCAAGCAAGACATGACAGAAAGAGAAGATAAAGAGAAAACAAGTCCTGTGAGTAGCAGCTGAGGTTTAGCCCAAAGAAAAGGAGGCTCTCGCAATAGCACAAGAGGAAATGGCCTCAAGTTGTGCCAGGGGAGGTTTAGATTAAGTATTAGGAAAAACTTCCTTTACCAAAAGGGTTGTCAGACACTGGAACAGGCTGCCCAGGGGAGTGGTTGGGTACCCATCCCTGGTAATGTCTAAAGGACATATAGATGTGGCACTTAAGGATGTAATTTAGTGGTGGATTTGGCACTGCTGGCTTAATGGTTGGACTCAGTGATCTTAAGAGGGCTCTTTTCCAACCTATGATTCTATAAAGCCAGAAGGTAGAGATTGATTGAGTACCGCTCCTCTGCTGTTCTGGGGCTCAGCTACACCAGCAACATAAATAATCCTCCAGGTGAGGTCTCCATGCTGTGTAGAATAGCTCACCACACACTTCTTCATACCGTCCATCAGTATAGGCCAAGCCCTGTTGAGCTAGACAACCTAAAAACCAGAGAAGTATTTCAGCTCCAAAGTCTTAAAATTGTCCCCCAAATAAGAGTATTTTTAACAAAACATTTTGACGATCAAACTAAGCATAGCATTTCAGACTAAGCCATTTCTGAAGGGTGCAGGAGTGAAGGGCAACCTTCTCAAAGGAGAAAGCTGTTGCTTGTTATTTGAGTTAAAAAAATGAGGTGGTTTTTCATATGTAATTTATGAGTTTGACAGACACCTGCATTAATTATGTGTAGGCATCTGTCACCTAGAATAACTCTGAAGACCTGGCTCCAGCTTCATTTCACCCAAGTCTTCCTCTCTGACAGTAATCACACTGGTCCCAGATGGGTCATTCAAAGCTGACTGCTCCCCCGAGAATGCATTCTCAGCCTCACAGAGAGGAAACTATACCACCGGAACTGATGTTTTAAATTAAAGTGAAAGCCATAAGTATAAACAGCTTGAAAAATTGGGATTGACATGCTTCTTGCAAATGTGTGACAATATCCATTTTAAGTCATTAAGTCATTTAAGGCATTTTCCTCATTATTTGGCTTCTGAACACTGAGCTGTAAGATCAAACCTCAAGACAGATGCTTAATAGCAGGGTAGCAAGCATGAACAGTTACAAGAAAAATGTGTTTTAATTACTTCAAAGTAAAAACATAGTATGCAAAACCAACCCAAAAATTTTCCACTTTATAGCAACTTTTAAATTGAAAATTTTATTGAAAATAACTTAATTCTGAGCCATTTGAATGCCACAATTTGCACAGCTGCTTATATCATCAGATAAATGAGTAAAACACTAAAACTTAACAGAAATAATTGCTCCTTGCTGTTTATTGATAATTCCCTGAGATGCCTGTAAATACAGTCCTTAAAAGGTGAATAAAGCAGATGGTGTTTTTCGTTTGTGTTCAGGAATATCACAGTATTAGTTTCTTCATTTTAACTTCAGCTGCACTTTTACTCCCCATTTAAAAAACTTTAAATCAAAGGCAAGGCAATCCTAATCCTTTCTTCTTGGGGCTGTACTGGGGCATGTGGATAACTCATGTCCCAAAGTGCTACAGAACACTCAGAGAATAAAATACAAGACCCCTGGAGCAAAGCAGTTTACAAGCTGCAAGTTCACTGGTGCTGAACAGCCTGTAGCAGTCCTGTGTCAGGGCACTACCACAAAGACAATCAGACTGAGTTCAAAGCTGCTTTAGCAGGACTTACTAACTTAGAAGCAACATCAGATGACTGTGGTTTGGGCTGGTGGCAGTTCAACTATTTCTGCAGAGTGCTGATAAAGCTAAAGCCTTCAACTTCTGTTTAAAAGCAGAGTAAGGGCTCAGGTCGGGCATGATTAGGTACTTACCTCTAAGCATGCCATTCTCCAGCATTTCTCTGCAAAAACTGCTACATTTACAAATGGCACCAGTCCTTTGCAATGTCTCTACAGTGCCCAGTTGCTCCCGCTTACCTCATCATCCAGTTGTAGAGACTAAATCATAAAGACCAAGCACCCACTTCAAAGTCTGTTAAAACCAGAAGGGTAATTCTTACCCACAGCCATTTCTAAACAGTGCCAATCCCAAAGGTATATAAAAGAATCATCAGGCAATGCCCACATGAGATTTGAAAAAAAGTTGTAGGTTTCAGTTTGTCTTTCTCTGACCTTTTTAGACCCATACTACTTCCCTTCTCATCCACTGGCTTCAGCCATTCCCTAAAGATTTCTCAGCTTAGTCCTTCCCTGGCCCTGAATTCTGCCCATAGAATAGGCACTAGCCTATTTGCTTCAGGCTCATCATTCCTTTTCCCCAAATCAAAATTCAGAAGACAGGGTAGGCATCGGCTTTCAACAGCTGAAGATCAGGAGACAACAGGAAGCCCCCCTTTGACTACATTTCACTAGAGCATGAGTAAATACAAGAGAGAGTTAATCAAACGGATTGCTCCCATCTCAATCCAGAAAGGAAGGCAATTTGCAAGAAATAAGAACATTCATAACATAGCAAGTTTCCTTTCAGCCCCAGCCAAACCCGCAATACTCATTTGTAAATAGGAGGAAGAGGAGGACAGAAAATTGCTGTTTCTCTCATATTCACTGCAGCTGCAATTAAAGTACTTGAAAGAAACATTGAAACATTTGCAAACACAATTCCAGTAAGTTCTTAGTTCTTTCAAGAAACATTTTATTTCAAAGAACACTTCACTACACCTTATCTTTGTAGTCTGTCAACACAGATGAAATACAGCAGTAATAGGCAACTTGAACAGTGAAAAAAATCATAGTTAGTTCAGAATTAAAGTCATACAGCAAAAGCCTTTTCCCAGTACAGGCTCAGTGTAAGGTGGTTTGCCTCAGGAACAGACTTTTCCTTGGCTTCTTAAATATGGTGCTCAAGAAAGCATGAAAGAGCTCAGGAGAAATCACCTCCTTCAGATATTCCCAGGCTGGGTCACAGGAGTTTGCTACAATGAAGAACACAGACTTTATTCCTGAAGAGAAAAAAAAATAATAAAGAACAATTTTACATCAGGAGAAATATTTATAAAATTGAATTTTATCTTAATCCTAAGCACTGGAAAGTTCAGAATTCTGCTCAATATGTTTCACTAAAAACCAGAGAGGCCATTCAAGACACAGGAACTTAACAGTTTAATGCTTCTTAAATTATTCATTTGTCTGACACAGATGGGAGTGTGTCTGTAAAACTACCCCACCTATGTATGAAATACTCTTCTCTGGATGATGTGGCTAGACATCACTCATTAACTACACTGTTTCAGGAGAAGAGCATTTAATAGTGCATTTTCACGACTTCTCACCTGTTTGCATTTGGAGAAACAAGGTTTCACAACTTCTTCAGTATTTCTGAATTGTCCCATGTTCAGATAGAAAACCCCACACCCCACAGCCATCCAACAGACGTTTTGAGAAAGAGGTACAAACTGCCTACTTTTTGATAAGACACTGCATATTACTTGTTTTTGACTAAAAGGTAATGTAAATTAGTTCAGACTTTGATTGATTAATGGGGAAACTAGGACTAAAACAGGATATCAAACTTAGGCCCACAGTATGGTTACAAAATACTGACTTTGAACTACTTTACATTTATATTTATGGGACAAAAGTCAATCTGCTTTGATAAGATACCTATATCTTTATTTTCTCCTTCTCCAATTGATCTAAAAAACTACAAAGAACAAATTATGAAAAGAACGAGAAGGAAAGTATAATGAAAGATGGTAGAGATTTCTTCCACAGATTTCTTGAGACAAGATAAAATGCACCAATTTTAAAAGCAGTCCAGAGTGGAGAATAATAATTCAACAGGTTTCACAAAATAAAAAAAAAAAAAAGCAAGAGCATAAATTTGACTATTAAAACATAAGATTACCCAATTGCTGCCAATTTTTTCTAAAAAATTCATAAGATATCTCTATTGTCACTCTTTAGGAAGTCAATTTTATCATTATGGACAGAATTCTCCATCATAAAGAAACAGCATAAGCAAGACCAAACATCAGAAATATCTTAGTAAAAACAAGTTTATTCATTTGTATTTTAGGTAAATATGTATATAGTCAGCAAAGCCTTTTTGCCATGACTGTAAACTTTTTATTTAAAAAAATTATGTTAAAAACCAATACAGTAATTTCTGTTAACATTCTAAAAAAGTTGTTCACATCTTGAGAGAAAATACATTTGCAACATTTCCCAGCAGAATCAATCTTTAAAAAAGTAAAACTCTAGGTGCAGAACTTTTCTACAGTGTAGTATCTATCCTCTACATTTTAATTTAATCACGTGACTGAATATCATTCATCTCTATTGTCTCTGGAACATGATCAAGAGTATATCTTAAATAGATGATACTCGATGAAGTGTTACACATTGCCACAGGTACTAACATTATTAGAAGAGTGCACAATTGAATTTCACTAACAAAGCAAGACCTTTCTATATGCTGCATCGTAACAGTTAATTTAGCTATATGCCTTTAAAATTATGTACGTTTTCCAAGGAAAAATACTAAAAAAATCCATGGTCCAAATTCTGCTCCCACTTGTATTCACAGGATAATGTAAGCACCATCAAGTTGTAGTTTATAGCTGAAAAGCATAGAGAACCAGTTTGTTTGTGAGTATAAGGGAGAGAAGAACTTGACCCATGTCTGTAAACATTCACAAAAGTCTGCAGTCAAAAGTGCTGGATAGGCAGCCTATCCGCAGTACAATTATTTCATTCACAGAGGGGTGTTGGGGGCAAGGAGAATATTATGGAACACTATTTTAGAGGCGAGTTAGAATGTTTTTATGTACTCTGGAAAGACATATTCTCAGCTAGCTAAACCATACTCCAGTTAAACATAATTCACTGCTACCCAAATATAGTACAGCATCATTTCCTAGCTTTCTTTTTCAGACAAAGGAGTACTCAATTCAGCAGCAAGCCCATGACAATATTTCAAAGCATAAGAAAACCCCCACACACCTCTAATCTACCCTCCCCTTAACATACTATTGATGCTAACAGGAGATCCTCATATATACAAAGAAAATATCCAAAAAAATAAGCTGACCTTGATCTATGCACACACAAGAAGTGTGCTTCTAGATGAAAGATCATCTACAGCTTTAATTCTCTAGTTTCAGCCTAGATCTCATTCTACATTAACCACATATACCATACAAAACATAACAGAAAGATAGGTGCTTATACACACTATTAAGTATACTTGTTCTCCCCACTCAGTTTGACAGTCAATTACCGCTATTTACATAAACGTCTGTTTGAATGTTCCTGATCCTCTAAGACACCAAACATTCAACTCTTAAGATTAAAGGAGAGTCAAGGATGCTCAGCAATTCACAGGATCAGACCCTGAATCAATTGAATGCAATCACAAATTAAGTTTGACATTTGACACAGCCTCCTGGAATAATTTTACCCTCATGTTTTCCCCTTCTTTGCCAACTCAGACCATGCTC